GGAATGACTTAGTGTTGTCAGAAAGTTCTGGTTGTATTTCTGACTGTTTACATACGTTTACATTTTTAGTGTTTTTTAAATATCTATCGAGATCCAGCCACTGTTTTCCCCACGGAATTCTGGTGTTTCAGTATTCTGCCTTTTACTGTACATACTTTAAACACCTGAAATTAGTCTAATCATCCTTTTTAAAAATATATCTCCAGGACCCTAAGTTGTCCACTTGTGTTTATATTTCGTTCACATTTAAAACTAGCTTTAGTGTGGAAAAAATACTGTCCGTCTGTAAGTGAGCATCTCCTTAATGTTGGCAATGATGGCGTCTGCAGAAGATTATGTCGTGTATTCAAAAGTCGAACTGTTATGGGAAAGAACAAGGATGTCTTTACTCACATTGGTTGTCAAATTTGGAAATATTATTATATAAAATTAAATTACTATAATATATTTCATTTCATTTTTCATTTCATTTATTTGTCTCAAACAATTAGAATGTACATAAATGGAAACGGCAAGGAACAATCACAAAAGTACAAAAAACAGAGACAGGACACTCCAAAAGTAAAATCAATCACTGTCGAGTGGAGGCCCTTTACAAGAAAAACACAATACATACAATATAAAATTCTTCAGAAATATAAAAAATAGAAAGATAAATATTGAAAAATAGAAAAATGAGTAAAAATAAGATAAGCATTAAAATTTATCTTAAAAATAGGCAAAAGTAAAACTCAATCATCTATTATTATAATGTATGAATTCATACATAATTTTAGTAAATAAGGCAGTCAGACTTGACCATAAAAAAATATACGCATACGTATCGTCGGAGTATTTACCTTTAAGCTAATGCTGTGGCAATCGCTATGAGAATCGCTATAAAAATCAACACAATGACGATTACAATAAGGCAGAAGCAACATATTTCCAATACACTGAAAAGAAATGAGAAGGTTTAAGCTAGATTATAATGCAAGCTAAATGTACAATCTCTATATTTGTATAACTTAAACTGCCTAACTGTGTTAAGTTTCTAAAAATGTGTTTGTATGAAAATTGTCTTTCAACCACCACAGTAGGCCGAAGCGCAACATCCAGATTATTAGTCCAACTTCATGCATTGCTACAGCAATTAGGCCTTTTATGATACACATTTGGTGGGTAGTCAACGTTCGACAATTAATAACGAAAACGATTTACACATTTTATTGAATTATACCCGATGAGTGAGGTCTGTTTAATATGACATGTTTTAATCATACAAAACTATAACTAATACGAATAGGTCCCATTTTTGTTCACTTTAAACAAACTTTCCTAGGCACTAGGCTCTGAGAATTTACAAGAATCGAATTTTCAAATTCATTTTTCTTGATTGATCATTTAATAAAAATAATTTAAATCAATTCATTTCTACTGCAATTGTTATTAATTACAAACTTACAATTATATACTGTATATTATATACTTAAACAATAAAATAAAACATTTTGACAATTAGAAGCATATACTTACTTTGGTGATGGTTCAAATCTGGGTTGCCCACTCATTTTGTGTATGTATGTCTTTAATATTATTCTGTTAAACAGCGAATCGGAGGTAAACGTACTGTATTTTTAAGATTAATAGTTTATTTTAAAGCAATTTATCTACTTGTTGATAATTGAAATTAGATTGCAGAATGCTACACGTCAAATTCATTATCATCTATATGAAGAACAAACACAAATAGAATAGAACAAGCGGAGTGATATAACAATACTAATACGGAGTCCTGTTATGTGTGCACCAATATGCGACAAGAGCATATAAGCGTAAAGCTAATATTATTATTAAGCGTTCATACACAGTAGGCTTATAGCAGACAGCATTTAGAGATCACCTTTTTCCTGTCCGTACATACTATTTTTACGCTGCACATATTAGTATTAATCACATACACAATATAT